CTGAGGGAAAGGAGCCAGACACAAAAGGGTATATACTATACGCATCCATTTATATGAAATTCTGGAACATGCAAAGTTTAATCCACAGTGTCAGAAAGCAGAAAGCAGGTTACCTAGCTCTAGAGGAGGCCTGAATGCAAAGTGGATGAGGGAACTTTCTGGGGTGATAGAGATGTCTTAAATCTTGATTGTGGTGGTTGGGTATGTAGGTGCACACTTTTGTCAAAACTCATCAAATTGTATACTCTAAAATGGGAACATTTTATTCTATATACATTTTAACTCAATAATGTTGGTTTTAAAAGAAAATTGGAATTAATTCGGCAAGGCAGGCTATAATAAGAAATGTGTATTCTTAGTTACAAACTTGTCAGCTAAAGGCAGACTAGAGTTTCAGGAAAAAATAAACATAACCAAGAGGAAGGTTACAAATGAGATACTGAATAATCTCACACATGAAAGCACACACTTTTTTAAAAAACCAAGAGTGAAACCTATTTCATTTAGAGAGCAGAATAGTAGATAGATAGACAGATAAAAGGCATTTGAAAGAAAAAGACAAATATTCTCTCCTTTTTCTTCAATTTGAGATGAGGTCTCACCATGTTGCGCAGGCTGGTCTCCAACTCCTGGGCTCAAGCGATCCTCCTACCTATGCCTCACGAAGTCTTGGAGTTATAGGTGTGAGTCACTGTGCCCAAAAGACAAATACTGAACACAGAAAAACAAGATTTAACATACAAATGATATGAGTCCCTAAAGAAGAAAATAAAAGAAGAGAATAGAACAAATACTAAAACTATAAGTTAAGAAAACTTTCCTAAAATAAAAATGACTTGGAACTATGTATTAAGCGAGAATATTGAGTACCTAAAAATATCAACTCAGAATGAAAGAGCAATACCAACACACAGTCAAATAAAATTACTAGATTTTAAAGAAGAAGCAACAACCCTTTATTAGTCAGGGTTCTCCAGAAAAACAGAACTAATAGGTTATATGTGTATATGAAAGGGAGTTTATTAAGGAGAATTGGCTCACCCGATCACAAGGCGAAGTCCCACGATAGGCCATCAGCAAGGTGGGAAAGAAAGAAGCCACGGTGACTCAGTCCGAATCTGAAACCCTCAAAACCAGGAAAGCCGACAGTGCAGCCTTCAGTCTGTGACCAAACGCCCGAGAACCCCCAGCAAACCACTAACTTAAGTCCAAGAATCTAAAGGCCAAAGAACCTGGAGTGTGATGGTCAAGGGCAGGAGGAGCAGAAGGAAGCATCCCGCATGGGAGAAGGAAGGAAACTGAAAGACCCAGCAAGCGAAGCTATCCCACCACCTTCCACCTGCTTTCCAGCCAGCCTGGCAGCCAGTTGGGTTGTGCCCACACTGAGCGAGGGTGGGTCTTCCATTCCCAGTCCACTGACTCAAATGTCAGTCTCCTCCGGCAACACCCTCACAGACACACCCAGAAACAAAACTTTAACAGCCATCTAGGCATCCTTCAATCCAATTGAGTTGACACCTAATATTAACCATCACAAACCCTTTAGGCAAAAAGAGCAAGAAACTATTAAGAGGCAAGTATATATGTTTTGGGACAAAGAAAATGAGTAATTATGGGTCATTCTAGTTCTATCATCTCCCCTGTCCTTCAGAAACAGAATTCTCAATGGGAAAGAAAGAAAATACAGATGTAACATAAAAGTCAGGTAAAAATCCTAAGGAACTAAATTTAGATGGGAAGCACCATTATAAACTCATTGGGCATTTTATCTTAAAAATTATGTACATGTAGGCAGGGTGCGATGGCTCATGCCTGTAATCCCAGCATTTTGGGAGGCCGAGGAGGGCAGATCACTTGAGGTCAGGAGTTCGAGATGAGCCTGGCCAACATGGTTAAACCCCGTCTCTACTAAAAATACAAAAATTAGCCAGGCGTGGTGCTGGGCGCCTATAATCCCAACTACTTAGTAGGCTGAGGCAGGATAATCTCTTGAACCCAGGAGGCGGAAGTTGCAGTGAGCCAAGATCATGCCACTGCATTCTAGCCTGGGCGACAGAGTGAAGCTCTATCTCAAAA